TATTCTTATACACTAATTCTACATCACCGTTGGGCAGAAATAGAATTAATCCATGGAAAACTTATGAATAAATATTATAACATTGTTATTACCAACGTTGGTTAGAAAAATAACAATATTATAATTTACTGATTAAAATTGACTACTCTTCAAATTAAATTCTCCCATTGGTTCGAATTTAATTAGAAGATTATTAACTTTAATATTGCAGCGGAAACATGAAAAAAATTCATTATCTATTTTTCAGAAGCATTAAACTTTTCTCAGCTTGTGGGGGGTATGACCCCGGATACTCACGGCAGACCACATGGGCTGCTCCCTCAGAGGCGGTCCGGCCCACAAGACGAAGCCTTGCGGGGCACGACTCTGCTCGACGCCTTCCACAAGACATCTGGAAGATATCCTAAAGATACTACGAGATCTGTTAGGATATGTATGATCCCAAGATTCCTATAATCAGTTATTACTTTCCGATTATCTCTCAGATCTAACCGACTTGTAACCCTGCTCCTCGGACTATATAAGGTGGGCAGGGACCCCCTCCAAACTCACACAATATTATATGATAGCTAATACAAACCAACAGACCACAGGAGTAGGGTATTACGTCATACTAACGGCATAAACCTGTCTAACTCGTGTGCCTCTGTTGCCTTCTTGTTCTTGATCTCATGCTCCTCTGCCGATCAATCTATCTTCGTGGGATATCCCTCGGAGGACTGCCGACGATATTCTGTTGACAGTTGGCACACCAGGTAGGGGTGTGCGCTTGATCCCATGGTGAGCCAGATGGACCTCAAATCAACAACGTGTTTTTGTCGTCAATCTCGTGGAGATCCATGTCGATCCATGATGATGATTCATCACTGGCTGCACCAGCCCCCGCGATAGCAGATCCGATCTTGAAACCACCTCCGAGGTCATCTTCGCCATCAACTCACCACCCGCCAGGTGCTCGCCGTCAACGCCGACCAGATAATGCCATACGTCGCCGACCAGACTTTCTGTCTAAAGCTAAGTCATATTTTAATATTCTTCTAAATATTCTCCAATCTCCGTATATCGTCATAATGTTTCTCCGAGCTATTTTCTCCATATTTGCTCTCCAAATGATTTTTTGAACCCTCGAACAGTCATGTTGATGCTCGGACGCCTCAAGAGACGGCCCTATCTCCGGCTCCTCCCTACACGTGCTACGGGCTCCACGCTCTGCGTTATGTGTGGTCGGCAGCGGGCTCCTTGGTCATGCATGTTCCTCCTACACGTGCACGAGCTCCGCGCTCCGCGTTATGGTTAACGGGCTAGCTAGGGCTCGAGACTCAGCTACACACTAACTATTCAGGCGGTTTATATTAAATATAAATATATCTTCACGCCAACTGATCGCCGAACTGCACACGCCGTTTCATCACCATTGCTGATTTTTCTTCGGAGTTCATATATTTTTACATCATGTACTACCCGTTCTACATATTTGTATTGCAGGATCATCGTCCAGGTGATCGAATCACCTGGTGCTCAAACTTCTCCACTGATCAACTGGTCAGACCGCTAGGTTCATCAACTTCGTCACCGACCAGTTGATCGAACTGTTTGTTGGTCGCTTCTACTCAATGCTCACTTCACCGCCGACCAGTTGACCAGACAATTCGTCGCTCGTGCTTCATCGCCAGCTACGTCGGGGACTCCTCCGCGCTTGGATTCTTCGTGCTCGAGGACTAAGTGAGCACACTTCACCACATGGACGTCGTCAGCTACGCTAGGGACTCTTCGGTGCTCGGACATCGCCAGCTGCGCCGGGGACTCCTTGGTGCTCGAACATCGCCAGCTACGTCGGGCACTCCTCGGTGCTCGGACATCGCCAGCTACGCCGAGGACTCCTCGGTGCTCGGACATCACCAGCTACGCTGGGTACTCCTTGGTGCTCAAACATCGCCGCCTACATCGGGGACTCCTCGGCGCTCGAACATCGCCCTTGGTGGTCGGATCTTGCTACGTCTCATCGGTGTGCTATCAAGCTGCTCCATGCTGTTCGGATTAGGGTGCTGATCGTGGGCAGCATGTCTGGGGTCTTGATACGCGCATGTCAAACGACGTCGGCAAGCTTTCAGACTTCTTTTTCTTTGACCCTGCTACAAGATTCATTCTTCATCTTCCAGCAGGCTCGGGGACTAAGTGGGTACACTTCACGTTGCGGTGAATGTGCGCTTTTCTCATCTCGAGGCTACGCCCGGGGACTGGCTATCTGCTCAGCTGGTCTTTCTACTTTCTGACCATGGCACCACGTGACTACGTCACCTACTGTCAGGCTCGGGGACTAGCTGTGGGGGTATGCCCCTCCGTACCCACAAGATATGACATGGGCCGCACCATCAGAGGTGGTCCAGCCCGTAAGATCAAGGCGTGCACGGCGCTACTCGGCGTGCACCGCAAGCTATTGTATAGTACCAAATAGGATACTGCACTTGTAACCCTACCCCTCCAGAGTATATAAGGAGAGGCAGGGGTCCCCTAGCGGACAAGATCCACAGAATACATCTCAATACAATACACCAAAGACACAGGACGTAGGGTATTACGTCGATCAGACGGCCCGAACCTGTCTAAATCGCTATCTCTGTGCCTTGTGTCACCATCCGGTTCCTGATTACGCGCACCCCCACCGATCAATCTACCTTCGTGGGATACCCCGCGGAGAACTACCGACGATATTCTGTCGACACAGCTATTCTCTGAAAAATTATCCCATTGGTTCAAATTTTAACAGAGATATTAAACTAGACAAAATTCATCGAAATCTGCTTCTAAAAATTAAATAAACTTCAAACTTTATTTACTGTTCATTCTGGCCCGGCTTGCGACAAGATAAAGAATCGCCCAAAGAAGAACAGCAGATCTTGTTGCCGACCTCTTACAAAGAAGACCCCCCCGCACGCAGCACTCGCGGCACTCTCTCGCGCCCAAAGCCGCAACCTAGGCCTAGGCTAGCAAAGTCGTTCATTGGCGCTTCACCGCCGGGGCGATTTTTGGTCGATCGCTCTCGTCCGTTCTTCCAGATCCAACGGCCAGGCGATGATTTCGGTTGATCAAAACCCCCCGGCCGACCGCGGCACCGAAACCCTAAGCTCATTTGCATTCTTCCTTTCTCTCTCTTCGCCTCACTCCTTTCTCTCCTCAGCGCAGCGAGCAGCAGCAATGATCGAGCGAAAGGAGAGACGCGGTGGAGCATGGCGCCGTCGCAGGCCCCCTCACCGGCGTGCGCGCTCCCCAACGGGTGAGCGCGCCGCCGTCGAGGGGCCTAGCCGCGGCGCCCTTGGCCAGAGCCCGCACAAGACCACCCCGCTCGGCCTTCTTCTCGCGCGCCGGCGAGGCGGCAGCGCGGTGCACGACGAGGTAGGCCTCTTCCCCCTTTCCCCTTCTTCTTCTCCGTTTGGATCTTGCTTTGTTCTTCTCGGATTTGTCCGATTTGGGGATTAGGGTTTGGTTAGGGTTAGGGTTTCACTCACTGTTCTTCTTCCCCAAGTCTGATTCACGGGTTAGGGTTCGGCTTCACGTGTCGAGACCCCTTTCTCTTCTCTGTGCTTCACCTGATTAGGGTTAGGGTTCAGTGACCCTCTTTTTAGATCCGAAAACGAATCTATCACCTCCTTCTAGCTGCTACTCGGTTTTCTCATCCGATAGGCTAGATCTACACCTAGTTAAGTGTCTGACACCATTGTCAAACCTAAAACAGGATCACTAGCCATAGATCTAGTGTGTCTACTTGCTTTTGGAATAAACAGCGAGTCCTAAGATATCTACTAGTACATGATAAGAGATAGAGTGAGAGAGAGAGGGGTGAAGAGATGCAAACCATCGGCCGCCTTGGAGGAAGATGGGCTCGCCATCGCAGTGCTTGGCGATAACCCAATGGCGGAGCTGAGTCGAAGGGCGGTGGTCTAGTAGCGGCGTCGCCCAGGGGTCGGTGTAGAGGTCGCAGGGCAGCCCAGCGTCGTAGCAGCCCTTCGGTGTAGATGCAGAGGCGGTGGTGGCGCTTCCCGTCGCTGGCAACGCCCCCTTTGTGATCGGTTAGGGTTTAGGACTATAGGTGGGGTGCTAGGCGGCTCAGGCGAACCTCGTGCTTGACGCCCCGGCCCCACCTCCTATTTATGGCGCTGTGCGACGGGGGCCCACCAACCTTATTATGGTTGGGCGCCCTCGATCAGGGCACGAATCCAAAGGCCCAGGTCAATTGGTGGAGATCAACTATCAACGGTTTCTTCAATTATTTCTCTTTCTTTAATAAATTACTTGCCACATTAACAAATTGCTTACTTGGTTGTGCAATTAATAACTATAGAAACTATTGTGATTTCTGCACTGTGAGTACCCTTAGATCACATCTCTTGAGTTTCGGACAAAGAGTGTTGTGAAAAGTACCTTATTATACATCGGCGCCGTCGGAGCTCGGGCATACATCAGGGTCACCGGGCTTTTGGTCCACCAATGGTTGTACTACCACATGTCATCATCGTTTATGCTAGTTCAGTCATTCGAAGGTGCTAATAAGGGTAGGGTTTGCGTACGTGTGTTCGTAGAGGTGAGTGTCTGTACGTATTGAGAGCGTCTACGTTGTACTGTGTAATTTAAAAAAAAAGTTAAAACGTTGCTAAAAAATATCAACGTTAAGTCATAAACCAAACGTATTGAAATTCGTACAAACAACTAAATATGAACCGTTTTGGCATATTAGAGATTTTGGGTTTTATAAAAGAGTTTCACGTTTTTTTAGTATAAAAGAGTTTCACGTTGGAAATCGTCAATCGAACTCACCCTATGGGCAAAAACATATTTGTAATATAAAAAAAACGCCGTCAACTCCAGGTGGCGATCAGCGGCGGAACTCCCTTGGATTCTGAATTTCTGACTCTGATCTCTGATGGGAGCTTACAAAACCAAAGTCGGACTCGTGCTCTGCATCCCCATCACTCCCCCGTCTCCTTACCTCCGCGGGCGACAGGATGCAAGGTTCGCATCTCCGGAGTATGGCTTTTCTCGAGAGAATTGGTTGCTGAATTAGCCATCTCTGCTTGTGTTTTCCTTGGTTTCAGGGGAGGATCGCGTGGTACCGGTGTACGCGTCGGGCACTCAGGTCAGTATATATCTTCTTGTTTTGGTGTATTTGCCTCTGTACCATTCGTGACAGATTCTGTGATGCAAGGAGCAGGAGATTAATTTACTTATGTACCGTTCGTGAAAGATTCTGTTGGGCAATTCATGTACTAGTACTAGATTAGAAATTAGTATACGGATTCTTGGGAGGTGCCTGTAATTCATAAACAGGAAATATATGAAGTGAAACATCATGTTGCATCCTTAATTTATCACTCTGAATATGTATGTATATACAGGTTCTCCGAAAGCTACAAGAGAAATCGGAATCCACCAAACAAGGTTACCCAGCAATGTACTCCAGTGTCGTTGGCGGCATCATACTTGATCCATCGATGATGGTGATCCCGATTGACGATCACATGGTTCACAGAGGACATGGCGTTTTCGACACTGCTACCATTTCTGATGGGTTGACTGTCCTCTCTGCTCTGCTCATCCATTTTATCTCATTTCTGAATCTTGTGATGATATACAGTGATACGATATCCTGTCTGAATTCTGAAAGTGACATTGGTTACTGTGACTCTGTGAGCAGCTACTTGTACGAACTGGATTCTCACCTGGACCGGCTCCTCGTTTCTGCATCGAAAGCAAAGATCGATCCGCCATTCCCCCGCAAGACACTGCGCGACATACTGCTCCAGATGACGGCAGCCTCCGGATGCAAGAACGGCTCAATCAAGTACTGGCTGAGTGCCGGCCCCGGCGACTTCCTGCTGTCGCCAAAGGGCTGCACGGGGTCCACGTTCTACGCCATCGTCGCCACCGCCGCCGCCAGGCCCGCCACCGCCACCGGCTCTCGGCACAAGGATGGCGTCAAGGCCATCACGGCCACCGTGCCCATGAAGCATCCATTTTTCGCGGGCATAAAGAGCGTCAACTACCTCCCGAACGCACTGGCCATTGCGGAAGCCGAAGAGCGAGGCGCGTTCGCCTCGGTCTGGGTCGACGAGGACGGGTACGTCGCTGAGGGCCCGACGATGAACGTCGCGTTCGTCACCACGGGCGGGGACCTGGTGCTGCCGGCGTTCGACAGGATCCTCAGCGGGTGCACGGCGAAGCGGATCCTCGCGTTGGCGCCCGAGCTGGTTGGAGCCGGCCTTCTGAGGAGTGTCCGGGACGCAAGGATTTCTGCCGATGAGGCGAGGCAATGCGCCGAGATGATGTTTCTTGGGAGCGGGCTGCCGTTGCTGCCCGTCGTCGAATGGGACGGCCAACCAGTTGGGGATGGTAAATGTTTCTGCTAGATAGAATGCACTTACAGTTTGACATTGGTGGATACAGTTGTTTCGTGATGCAACAGAGATCCACCTATCCATTAATCTCTTGTTTCTTGATGATGCAGGAAGAGTTGGGAGAATTAGTCTTGCCCTGTCTGATATGCTCCGGGACGACATCAAGTCTGGTCCAGATAGGATTCCCGTTCCTTACAGTTGACGAGAGACGATGATTATACACTTCTAGTAGACGAAGAAAGAATATCAGGGGTTTCAGTATACACTTCAATCAATAATAAGGGGACCGAGCCGTAGCTCGGTTGGTGAGCACTCCGGGTGTGGAGGCTACCTGTCGCGTGTTCGAGACCTGCTCGAAGCGTGGTTTTCCACCGGGGTTTTCTTTCAAAATAAATGTCTGCAGGTTCTTTCCTGTGGAGCCACAGTGGGAGTGGGATTGTGACGAGGACGTGAAACCATAGATGGGGTCTAATATCGCATAAGTGGTGTGTGGTGTGGATGTGTGTATATTCTACATTTGTACTCAGATGAGAGCCTTAAAAGAAAATAAGTATACAGACGGGGCTGTATTATATTACTGCCTTTTCGAGTCCATGATTTCTTCAAGGACAAAATTGCACTTTTCTGCTGTTTTTGTTTCGTTTTCATTTTTTAATACCGAATAAGATCGAAACTTCTGGAGCAGAAGAGATTAGTGGGAACAGAATTGATATCTGTGTTTTCGTCCATGCTGCTCTGAAGTGGTTGCTACCACTCCTACATCATCTTTTTCTATGTGAAGGAACATCTACTGTTTCTATATGAAGGAAATCAGGAGCTGCAACTGCAGTTACTGTAGAAGAGGGGAAGCCGAACAGGCTTAAGCGACACGATCAATTCCTATGCTCAATATTTTCTCTTCCTAATGGAAATCAGGAGCTGCAACTGCAGTTACTGTAGAAGAGGGGAAGCCGAACAGGCTTAAGCGACACGATCAATTCCTATGCTCAATATTTTCTCTTCCTAATGGTACCCAGCGGCGGATTCAACCTGGGGGGCTCGAGTCCCCCTACCGATACCGGAGCCCTGGAGCTCCTATGAATTTTTAGGTAAAATTATATCGTGTAGGTGGGGTTGAGACTTAAGATCGAGTAAACAGTCGAAGATATGTTGCTGTCGCACTTTTGTTCAGCCTCATAAAAAAAATTCTGGATCCGTCGCTGATGGTAACTGGGCTTCCTTTGTATTCAGTTTATTAGGCTTGGTTTACGCGTGACCCCAACAGGCTGAACAAATTAGCTGTCGTCTCGGGGGCACTCAAGGATGACATCGACAGGGATTAATATCAGTTTTAGTCCCAAATATTGCTCATTGACTCCTATCACATGTTCACAGTCACAGCCATTTCTTGCCTTTTGGCTGGCATATCTAGAAGAATCAATCTGATGTTCCTGAGAACTACTAGCAGTAGTAGTGTGTGTTTACTGTGTGTTACAATAGAGTCACAGAGACGACGATTAATTGGTCTACATTAGTGAACTTAATAAGTGGGAAACGGAATGGAATATCCCATGGAAAATAAAATAGCAGCTGCACACCGCGGTTTGTTGCTCATGTGACGAGTTCACTCTGGACAAACAAAACCTTGAGACCCGGGCGCGTGCACTGTGCCCAGCACAGCAGCCATCATGCTCCGTGACGGCGAGAGATGATTATTGATTACCGCACCCGCACGGCCGCCGCACTCGTTGGCAGGCAGAGACAGACACGGACAGACGCGCGGGTGGACCACGACCACCCGATGCATTTCCGGGGGCGTGGGGGATGCCGCCCCGCGGGCCCGATCGACTTTAGTGCCGGCGCCTCTCGCTCACGGTCACCGGTCACGGGCGCCGCGGTAAAGCTGGAAGCATCCAAGCGCATGGCCATTGCCGGACGCTGCGGCCAAGCGCTCGTCGCCAATCGGGTCGTCCTCCCACCTGCCTCCGTTCCGCCGTGAGCCCGGTGAGGACGCCGATGCATGCCGTCCTGTGTCCTGACTCTCTAGAGCCGTCGTCGCATGTACCTTGGAGTATGTAACACGCGGATCGTATATATGTTTGCTAGCCTGTAAAGGTCGTTGGTAGGGCCGTGGCCGAATGTCGTTTGCTGCAGTAACATTCAGAAAACAGAATTGTGCTTGTTCTTGGGCCTTGGCACTGGCAGGCTCAGAACCGCATCTCAAAGGGAAAAGGGTTTTTTATATTCAAACAAAAGGAACGAATCGAGGCCGACTCGACTCGAATGGATCGGATCAATCACTGGACTGTGCATGCATGCATCGAGCCATCAGTCCACCGGCACGGCAAGCATGGTAGCGTGTCCATGGAGTGGAGTGGAGGATCGGAAGCGCCCGTCGCCATCCCAAGACGCACTAGTCCTCACTTGAGGCTGGGCGGCTGGCACCATCACTGCTTGCTACTAGTGCTATCCTAGCTGCAGCTCATATAAGGTACTAGCTGCGATTGCCCAGCCTGCTGGGACGACAAAAGTAAGGCCTGCCAGGCAGCCAGAGCCGAGGAGAGGCCAATGGGTTTCCGCGGTGGTTTGAGGCCGCCCGTGACGCGCCTCTGCTTCGTCCTCCTGTGCCTGTGCGCCTCGTGCCTCTGCTCCTTGTCCGATGCCAAGAGGACGCCGCGGCCTACGCCTACAACCAAGAAGCCACCGCCAGCGTCGTCCCAGCAGAGCCCGGCTGCGGCGGCGGCCTCGTATCCAGCTCTCCCCGTCCGGGCGGTGTGCCTCGGCGGTTGGCTCGTCACCGAGGGCTGGATACTGCCCTCCCTCTTCGACGGCATCCCCAACAAAGATCTCCTGGTACGTACAGTCTCAGTGCGTATGCCTAGCGCCTTCCTTCCTCTGTGGCTCGCTCTTTGCGTACGTCTTGGTCACCCTATCCTATCCTATCCTATATGTAGGATGGCACGCAGGTGCAGTTCAAGTCAACGCTGCGGAAGACGTACCTGACCGCGGACCAGGGCGGCGGCGGCGCCGTGGTGGCCAACCGGACGCAGGCCTCCGACTGGGAGACGTTCAAGGTCCGTCCGACGACGCTGCTGTGGCACTTGAATTCCGCCGCAGTTGATATTCTAGCTACGTACGCTGCGTCGTCGCTGTTTTCTGTGCGTGTGTGTGCGCGCGCGTCTTTTTTTTTTAATGCATGAAAACATGAACCAATATAATGCAGCTGTGGAGGACGAACGACACGACGTTCAACTTCCGGACGGCCGGCAACCAGTTCGTGGGCATCGGCGCCAGCGACGGCATCATCGTCGCGACGGCCACCACGCCGACCCTGCAGGAGACGTTCCAGATAGTGCGCTGCCCCTTCGACAAGAACAGGGTCCGGATCAAGGCGGCCAACGGCTACTTCGTCCAGGTAAATACATACGAGTACACATACATCCTGTGTCGAGTGTGTCATCAACTCATCATGCGCCTGTGCCACGAAAAAGAAAACCCAGCAGAAACCAGGGTTTTTTTTTTTAGAATCAGCAGAAACCAGGTTTTTTTTTAGTCGAGTCGTCACTGCTGGGGCCAGCTGCCGAAAAGTCTCATCCATACAGTGGTGGATAATCGTCATATTCGCTTGGCTTATAAGTCGTATTTTTTCAGCTAACAAATAATATTTTTCTCTCAAATAAATCAGTCAACGGTACGTTTAGCCATAACTTATTAGCCAAACGAACAGGTCAATTATAATTGACCGCCACGGGTGATGTGGCGTGACCACTGGGGTTTCTGTTGGCCTGTAGACTGTACTGGTCGCATGCATGCTTAACCTTCTCGTGCACAAATTGTGATCGAGATCGTGGACTGGCCTAGAGCATCGATCGAGAAAAAACATCATTTTTGCTGTTACTGTATGCAGGCAGTAGCAACCGGCGAGGTGATAGCGGACTACGGTGAACCCACACGGTGGTCCGACTTCGACGCGTCGGTGTTCCTCATGACCAAGGTTGGGGAGCAGCTGCAAGGGGAGTACCAGCTCTGCAACGGCTACGGCACCGACAAGGCCACGCCACTGCTCAGGGTAAGATAAAAAAACAGACTCTCCCGTTGACAGGTGGGGCCCACTGTCTAGATAGACACACTGATTAGTGTAGGATAGCACTAAAAGATGACGACTAGTGCGTTACGGACTTACGGTCTGAACTCTGATTGATGCACACAGACTACGATCCTACCGGCTTTAGTTTGTTTATTAGAAAAGGTCCATGTCGTCGCCTGTGTTTTGTTTCGGTGTACCGTCCTCTCATGTCTGCATCCATCTGTGTCCATCGGGAGATGTGGGAACAAAGAATTTCGGCGACTATTGGACTGCCTGGTCAGTTTGGATGCAACCCAAGCAACACCAGACATGTGACCGTGGCCGCGCTTGTGAGGCTGAGGCATGCAATCACATGTCTTTGCCATGTAGCTCTGCCGTCTGTTGCGACTACGTACGTAGCAGCATTTTGGTGACAATAACGCAGTAGACTAAAACAGGACAGCTATCAATTTTAGTTTTGTGTATAATAAAATCCATCTGACATGTTTACAGCTTCTCTTATGTCCCAAATGAATACCCGTTCTAAAGTCATGAAACAGTGTTTTCATCCCACAACATTTTAGCTTATGTTGAAATTTGGCTTATACTGATACTTATGTTGAAATATTGTGAGTGTGTTTTCATCTCACAACATTTCAGCTTATGTTGAAATTTGGCTTATGCTGATGCTTATGCTTAAATATTGTGAGATGAAAATACTATTCCATGACTGAAAAGTAATGCTGAATAAGCTCAAGTAAACAGGGAAGCTTGTCTTCTGTCCGTAGTAAAATTAAATATGCAAATGTAAACTTTGTTACTAGAAATTCTTCAAATCTGCAACCGTAGAGTATTATCAAATAAAAAACGTGGTTACAAATTCTTCAAATCCCTTTCGTACTTGTACGTGGCGGCACAAACATCATAATGTAACTCCTTGTCCTTGGTCATTAAGTTTCAGGCCCCACTAGCCTTGCCTATAGGTAGACTAAATATTGGAAGGAAATGCAGTCTTGTGACCTTGCCCTTCTCCTGAAGAAAAAGGACGGAGTCTTGTATATACTGGACCTAGGAGTCACGGAGTAGCATAATTATCTGAAGTTTGAAGTTCACCAATAATAGTAATAGGCCTAAGATTTTAATTTATATTGGTTTGGCTTGCCTCAGGACCATTGGAGCACCTACATAGTTGAGGATGATTTCAAGTTCTTCGCATCAAGCGGGCTGACCGCAGTGAGGATCCCAGTAGGATGGTGGATCGCCAGTGACCCCAACCCTCCGGCTCCGTACGTCGGAGGTTCCCTCCAAGCCCTGGATAACGCCTTCAAATGGGCAGAGTACGTAAGCCTTCAGAGTTAGCCTTCAAATGTTCAGTTTATATATACCTACGATGAGTTGTTCGTCACTGCTTCTGCTAATCTGCTTTGGACAGGAAGTACAAGCTGGGTGTCATCATTGACTTGCACGCAGCTCCCGGATCACAGAACCCCTGGGAGCACAGCTCCTCCAGAGACGGCACGCAGGAGTGGGGAACAACAGACGCCAACATTGCGCAGACGGTGCAAGTCATAGATTTCCTCGCATCCAGGTCGTCACACCACACCACATTCACTTCACTTCATTCAGCCTTCTGAATTCATTCATCCAACAAGTTAAGTTACACGCATATGTACAAGATACTGATCCCTTGGCACCTACTGTAATTTTTACGTACAGATACGCGACGAGCCCGAGCCTGTTCGCAGTGGAGCTGATGAACGAGCCGCTGGCGCCTCGAGCGACCTTGGGCAGCCTCACCAAGTACTACCGCGACGGCTACGACGCCGTCCGGAAGCACTCGTCGACGGCCTACGTGGTCATGTCCAACCGCCTGTCGTCGGGGAACTCCACGGAGCTTCTCCAGTTCGCCGGCGGGTTCCAAGGCGCGGTCATCGACGTGCATTACTACACCGTGTTCAACGGGATGTTCAACAACTTCACCGTGCAGCAGAACATCGACTTCATCAGGACCAACTTCTCCGGCGAGCTCACCTCCGTCACCACCCAGAATGGCCCGCTCACCTTTGTTGGTAAGTCAAATTAAACAGCAAAAATGGGCTCCGACGACTTTCATACTCTCTCGATTTTAAATTACAAGTCGCTTTGACTTTTTGTTCATCTGTTATCAAAATAGACGTAGTAAAAAAAAAGTAAAAGCGACTTATATGGAACGGAGGGAGTACTTTTTTTCCTTACCAAAACAGAACTGCATAAATATGTGAAGCACACTGTATTATCATCGTGCCTTGTTTTTTTTTAAAAAAAAAAAGAAAATCTCGTGCCTTTGCTTTTGTGCAGGAGAGTGGGTTGCGGAGTGGAAGGTGCCAAACGCAACCAAGGAAGAGTACCAGAAGTACGCAGCAGCGCAGATGAATGTGTATGGACAGGCCACGTTTGGATGGTCCTATTGGACTGCCAAGAATGCCAACAACCATTGGGATCTCGAGTGGATGATTAAAAACGGATACATCTCATTGAAAGGCTAGGACCCAAACCAACATGTTTCTAGTCTTTGGGGTTTCTCTATTTATTTATAAGTAAGTTTGAAGGCAAATACGTTCTCTTAAATTGTAGTCTATTGACATCGATCAAATTAGGAAACAGGGGAGCCGGGGATATATTGTAATTAAGGCGAAGTTCAGTGACCTCTGATTCGTCAGAACGAACCCGTACTTGTGCTATGAACAATGTTGATTCTTATGTACTTGAGCAAACCAAGCCCTAGATGACAATATTGCAGAGTGAAAATCTCAATTGCATATGCGGTCGTTGTACCCATCGCGTTTGGGATATTTAACTTAATGCTATCCTTATGATGTCACATCTCCATTTGTCAGTTTTATTTAGAAACCTACATATATTTGCCACCAGAAATAGTAACAGTGTCACGCATTTGTCATTTTTGCATGGTGCTCGTGTGAACGATAATGAACTAGCCATTTTTGTTAAATTTGACTCTGCTTGGCCCAACCTTAAATCAAACCATTTTCAACGCCCGCAATAAATATTAATGCAATAAATGATTAAATTTGTATGGGAAAATGACAGGAGATTGACAAAATACTTTTGTAGCTCCACACTTAAAGCGAGAAGGATGAGAGTGAGGGATGACAGATCAAGGGATGGACGGATGGGGGAGAGTGAGAGACGGAAATTAACTCAACTTAGTAGAGTGACTATTGTGTATACCTGTTGTGAGTTTAAAAACACGGCACGCATGGGCTCATGTGGTTAGGTTATGACATGGTAGTGCGGTGCCAACGAAGGTTTCATAGCTCCAAACTCAAAACGAGAAGGATGAGAGTGAGGGACAATGGGTTGAGGGATGGTTGTATTGGGGAGGGGGTCGAAAGAAAGACATTTATAATAAAGGATTAATCTCGTATAAGAAATTGACTCAACTTAAATAGATAACTATTATATATACTTGTTGTGAGTTTAAAAGGTGGACTGACAAACGTGCCCACACATTGGTCAGGACATGTACAGGCTTGAGTGACTAAGCTATGACATTATAAACTCCGAGCAACAAGGGTAAGAATGAAGGAGGGACGACAGACTGAGAACCCCAAGAAAAAGGAGCAAAATTCACCGCCGGTACCTGCACTTGGCCGACGGTGTCATCTAAGTCCCTAAACTTCTAAAGTAATATCTGTGGGTCCTTAAACTTGGCAGACGATGTCATCCAGGTCCCTGAACTTTTAGGGTGATCACCCCATGTCCCTAAACTTGGCCGGCGGTGTCATTCCGGTCCTTGAACTTTCAACGTGATCACCGCAGATCCCTAAACTTGGCAAGCGGTATCATTCCTGTTAAAATATGGTCTAACCTACTCTATAAGCTGGCGTGGCACGCTAACTGTACGTTAGACGTGAATCCAACATGTGTCAATTAATCAATCATTATTTATATAATATTTATCATGAAAATATAAATTATATAAAATAATTTACATCAGCAAAAAATAAATTAAAGTATTAAAATAATTTACAACAACAAATATAAGGTTTAAACTAAAATAGAAAAATACTAAAATTGGTTTAGTATTTATGTATCATTAATAGTATAAAATAATATTAAAATTCCGATAGTATTAAAAGTTCTCTCTATTAAAATTGACTTCTAATTTTAGTATTATTTTAAAAGTTTTAATAGTAATATTATAGAAGTAACTTTTCTCTATTATTAATACTACTAGCAAAAATGGCCGTGCTTTTCAACGGGACTATAATTCATTGCACTGTCGACGATGAGAGTGGTAGCATGATAGAGCAGCGTGTGGCGGCACGATGGCCACTTCAAGGTGGCTTAAACCAGCGACACAAGGCCACGGTAGCACGCGCATGCAGTGTCACCAGCTACAGCCAGTCAGCCTGTGTCGTTGGCGTAGTGGCTGTTGGCGGTCATTAACGACCAAATTCGACCGCTAATTATAGTCCAAAATATGAGAAATAAACATACTTTTGGCACATATGCCTTTACTATTCATATAGTTCCACTTGTATTGCAAGATTACTATTTTGCAGGACTTATATCGGAATACAGTGGAAAATGATCAAAATACGCAAAAGAGAAAGCGTAATACAGATTCTATATCAAAGAAGCAAGCAAAGGCCCACTCCAATGAAAAATCTAGGCCGATCACCGATGTGGGAGGGGCCCAGGTCCACCTAAGAACCGACCACACGAAGGCGGTCACGAGCTGGCCCCACCAGGGGTGCGGCCGCACCCCTGCTGTGCCACCTAGGCCCAGCTTCCACCGACTGATGCATGGCGGCATGCATAGGTGGTTCGTGGATGTTTCCTAATTTTTCTACACCAAACCGACCATGCTTCAGTATAAAAGAAGGGCTAGAGTTCATGATTCAACACACCTCATTTGAAGCCTCTACCTCATTAATCTCTTGTACTCTTTAAGTTCTTAGTAGTAGTATTATGAGCAAGACAAGAGCTACTTGGAGAGCTTGTCTCCTTGGAAGAAGAGCAACACTTGGTATGAATATAAAGAGAATTTCTTCCATAGTCATGCTCTCATATCATTTATATAGTTGTGCTATAAAACTAGAGTACAGTTGTCTTGTTATAATCATGATATATGAACTAGCATATAGTTTGTGTGTCACGATCCTAACATGTTCAACTTTATGCTTAATCATTCATATGATTTGTATGAGTAGAAGTAGAGCTAGGGTTGGGGTGACGGTTTATCATTCCTTCGGGTTAGCCCATATTCTTGCTTCTCGATCCGTAGGGTCAGAGTCCCGGAGAGATATGGGTACTTTCCTTGTATACGAGCGTGGTGCTTGGGTACACGGGAACCTTCGGATATGATGGTATCCCACGGTTGAATGGTAGGCGGCAGGCGGTGACAGCCATGTCCGTCCTTCGTAATCCCCCATGTTTGGGTACTATATAGGAGTCTTAAAGTCTCTATGGCTTGTTGGCAGACCAGTGCCTAGGGATCTCTCCGTCTATCTCACACTTAGTTCTAACTCTAGTCATATAACTTGTATGATCATTAACTGTGAAAGCATCTAGGCCCCCAGTTGGGTTTTGGTGATTAATGACGACACGAGATTACTATGACTAACATGTGATTTGCAGAGGCAGTTTGAGTTAGGTCATGGTAATGGAAATTGATTGGGCAATCATGGTTGTCTTGCCCCTGTCGATGGAAATCGTTTTGGTTTTCAAAGGATGGACGACAAGGTTAAGAACGGACTAGGTCTGAGTGTCGTTTGGTGTTGGAGAGATACTTAGAGTAGTTTAGGACTTTGTTTTTCCTTTGACCATACTATTAAGGGGGATATGGGCTAGTAGCTTTACCTAGGTGAGTCTAATGGATTAGGTGTGGTGCACACTTATCAAACTTAGCACTAGGTAGCTCAGGAATAGCCCTAAGATCGATAGAAGTCAACTTCATTCATAAAGAATTTCGAATTGAAAGTAAATGGAGAGACAAATGACTGACCGGACGTTGATCTGGTTGTGACCTGACGCAGTTTGGAGAGTCCGGTCAGTTCATTTGATCGGCAGCAGCAGTTAGAGTGCGACCAAATGCTGGACACCAGTGCTCACCGAACGAGACGCTAGCTATATCTGTAGCAGCGTGGACTGGCTGTTGACCATGGACTAGACGTTGTATAGAGAAGTGACTAGACTATGGATGCCAGCGTCCGGTCAACATCAGTAAGGTTCTAGAGAGGGTTTTTGATGACCGAGCGTGTCCAGTGTGTGCTCACCGGACGCAGGCCAGAGTATGGTTAGAGCAAACGGCTCTTTCTGACACGCTAATGTATTATACTGACCGGTGCGTCTGGTCACCTTGACCAGAGCGTTCGGTCATCCCGATACTTGCTAAGTTGGACCTCAACCGTTATGCTTTGAATGGAGGGGTATAAATACATATCTCACTCGTCCATTTGAGGTCTCTTGTCCATTTGTTCAGCTGAGAAACACCTTTAGAGTGCAAGGAAGAGCAAGAGCCTAGTGGGGTGATTAAGATTTGATAATCCAAGATTAAGGACCTCATTAGTGCATAGAGAGTAGCAAGTGTGCATCCACCTTACTCATTAGGCTTGTCTTAGTCAAGTGAGAGTTTGTGCTTGTTACTCTAGATGATCACCATCACCTAGACGACTCGATGGTGATTGGGAGCTTGGTGATCATCCGGCGGAGCGTGTGAATGACCCAAGTCACTTTGTGAGCGGTTGTAGGCGATTCATCACGACAGAGTGTCAAAGAATCAGCCCGTAGAGAGTACTTGATCCTTGCGCAAATCAAGGGGGAGCTACACCCTTGAGCGGGTGCTTCAACGAGAACTAGTGGGGAGTGGTGACTCTCCGATACCTCGGGAAAACATCGTCGTGTTCGTTTCCCTCTCTTTACTTTGAGCATTTACATTTGAGCAATTCATTTTATGTCTTTACAATCCTAGAATTACCATGCTAGAGTAGGATTGGAACCTCAGGTGCAAAACTTTTGTACAAGAGAATAATAGAAACACATTTTTGACACAAGGGGTGAAATGGACTAAGTGTATGGCTTAATTATTGCAAAAATTTAGAATTAGCCCAATTCACCCCCCCTCTTGGGCATCTTGATCCTTTCAAACTATTCTTTGCACGGCTATATTAGAATATGCCGGCTCTACTTAGGAACATTCTTTTATTCTTTGTTTTTCTTTTATCCTTGAGGTTGACCCAGATGTGTGTCCACTATCCATGAAATACCGTTTTTACCCCTATCATGTACTATGGTTTACTATGCAAGTATATAATCATGTTTATGCTCATGCTAGACTCTTAATACCTTGCCCTCCTTTGGAAAAAAATATAAATAACGATACCCTAAATACTTTCGGGTGAAATGTTACAACGATAGATCCGTGCGCTTGCGGATATTCTCTATAATCGTTAAGAACTATCATAGTTGGTGTTCCTTGCCGACGTTGCTAAGATTAACTCAATCTTAGTAATGGTGTTAA